CCTCTAGCCTCGCCGCTGATCGTCCGCGACCGATTATTCAGTGAGTTAGCCTCCACCTATTCACGGTTAAACACCAAGGTGGCCGTTCTCCTATCCGCGAACTGGAGACACACTCGGTGGCATTTAGCTGTGCTATCCGTAGATAGTGCTTTGACTACGGGTTGAAATGTGAGTGGTATCTAACAACACTAGTGCTTCATTAGTATCCTTCCCATCGATAAAATTAAATTCTTCATACCTTTTCACAATATCCTCCCTCCCACCCCCGGCTCCTAATCATCACAGTCAAGCAGAAGCATATCTGAGGAAGAAAAGAGTAAGTTGTTGAAAATTTGCGTATCTTTGTGTCTCTTCTAACGGCATCTTCCACTGGTTTTCTCTTTTTGAGTAACTACCGAGGATTCCACTGCGTATATCTTTTGGATTGCCGATTGTTCTTTTTGATTTGGAAAATAGAAAGAAATCATGCTTCCTCAAATTATAAGCACCTCTAATAGAACGCCCTGAGTGTGGTTACTGGATGGTGTGCTCGCTGGCTGTCAGAGTGGGATGTGTTTGTATGAGAACTGTGGCATTTCGCGTTTATTGGATACACCACGATCAAGTCCCCTCGGATTTGGCGATACTGTGTGGAGCACAGCTCCAATGACTTCATTCTTTCCATTTAAGTCTTTTTGGTGGTCATTCTTTGTGAACGTTCCAGAATGTTACGTACGCGTTGCAGCCATGATTTCCGCAATTGAACTGGGTACTCTATGTGGGGTTGAATGTGGGCTGATAACAAACGTAGGGACAGCATAGTTTCAAATTTGTCAAATACTCACTTTAGCAAACCAACATGTCTTACACCGATGGATGAGTTTAAAGAACAATTTAGGTTTTCTCAAACAATGACAACAAGGTCCTTCTTATTTGAGGCATGCTTGAAGTTGTTGATATGCCAGGAAATACAGAAAACGAGTTTTCTGGCATCAAGAATGTGACCGTACATTTTGATGCATTGCATTCAATGTCTTTTTCGATCGGCCATTGATAAACAGCATTAAGTGTTCTCTGAAGTGCCAGTGTGTTACTGTTTTCACATTTTTGCATCGACTGCAAACATTAATGTTTCTGGCCTCAGGATGTTCGTTAGATCCTTTATGAAAAGTAGAAAAACTTGAGGGTTAAGCACGGATATATACGTAGTTGGTGTGCGCATGGCTAACCAGAAACACGTCTGTCCTGCGATGGAAAACTTTGAAATATAAAAAAGTAAGAATGTCGAGCTACAAGTACGTACAATTCTTTTAGATTTTCATGAGTCAAAACGACAGAGTTCAATGAAACCCATCTGAATCAATCATTTCAAAGTTTTACGAGTCAACAGAGGTCGAGAATACAATTCTAAAAAGTATGAATACTGTGTTCTAAGCGTTTCTCCGTACTTCCAAACAACCTGCTACCGTGTATTCAAACTCTTGTTTTTTGCATATTTCTGTCGAACAGAAAACAATAGCATTGACCAACGAGTCCGTGAACGAACAATTGTTTTTGGATATTCCTAGTCATGCTCTTACATATCACATAGTGGATAAAAATTCTTACATAATGATAGCCATTGGCTATCATAGATCGCAGACAGAGAGCAATGGAAGTGTAATCGTATGTGTGTGTGTGTGTGTGTGTAGGAATGTTTATCGAGTTAGTTGATGTGACCTTTCCCCACTTGGGTCAAGTGACGCATCATGTTCTGTCTTGGTCTTCACACCCTGCGCCTGCGCCAGTCGTTTTTGGGCACACAGATTGGGGCCTAGTAAGCGAATGGCGATCGCCTCGGCCATGGCCAGTCACCAAACTCGGGCCGCCTTCGATCGATTGAGTGGGATACGATAAACTACATCGAAAACGTTCTCCGTTTCGATCATGTGCCCGGTGTAGATGAGAGGCGCCACGATCGCGCTTGAGATACAGCCAGTCTTCCCCTGACCTAACCATCGCGGGTGGTGCTCATTAGTGCGCTGAGACAAACACCTTATCGTACGACCTATGAAACATGCGCCACAGACGCACTTAAAAGAGTAGATAATCTGTACGTGAGTCCTCCTTAAATGGGATTCTTATGAATAGTTCTTTCTTAAGGACACAAATGGAGTTCTCCAGAGTGAGTCAAATTTTCTTGTCGATGAACTTTTCCGGATAACCGTTGTCCTGCAGCGTTTGGTGGATGAAGTGTAGTTCTTTATCCAGTGTCTGCTGAACAAGTCTTCCGGGCTCCGTAGGCTAGACACCGGACTGGATTGCGNTCACAGGAAAGAAACCATGGAAGTTTGTATATTGACCATTCCATGTTTTCTCTTTGTGGATCTGTCTCCTTACTGATCCATCTTCTTTCCTGGACACGGCTACATCCAGAAAGACCCATATGTTGTTCGTTTCAACCTCTACAGTGAATTCCAGTGATGGATGTGCTTCGTTAAACGCGGTCCGAGTTTGGTGACTGGCCATGGCCGAGGCGATCGCCATTCGCTTACTAGGCCCCAATCTGTGTGCCCAAANCAAAAACGACTGGCGCAGGCGCAGGGTGTGAAGACCAAGACAGAACATGACGCGTCACTTGACCCAAGTGGGGAAAGGTCACATTAACTAACTCGATAAACATTCCTACACACACACACATACGATTACACTTCCATTGCTCTCTGTCTGCGATCTATGATAGCCAATGGCTATCATTATGTAAGAATTTTTATCCACTATGTGATATGTAAGAGCATGACTAGGAATATCCAAAAACAATTGTTCGTTCACGGACTCGTTGTCTCAATGCTATCATAGAAAACAATAGGGTTAGAATTTATTGTTTACGGAGATTAGATACGTGTTATTTCTTTTAGACTTTTGAAGAACAGTTTTCTATTCCACAGTTTGGCCTGTACTGATTTGGTATCATGTGTCTTTTTTCGTAGACAAGGGTTTGTGTTTCAGCCCGAAATTGCACGATCTCATCGAAGAACTAGGAGGCAATGGTACTTACTGAAACATTTAACTTTCAACAGCTATTGAGAAATTCAGCAGAAGCCCATTGCTGGTTTGTAAAGACTCTAGAGAGATAGGGAACTGCAGAATGTCCGTACATGTTAATGCGGGATGGTAATAAAAGTGGTGCAGAACACAGTGAGATGTGAGAGCCGCATTTCGATAGATAACCATGTCAGGAAGAAGTTTATGTGCAAAGCTGTCACGTGCCTAAAGCTGCATTTCACCGGTGTATATACATCATCAATGGGTATAACAGATACACGACTGATAATCGACAGCCTACGAAGAAGGCTTCTTAAGATGACCGGGACAAACCACAAGGAAACAATCAAGAGGAACAAAAGAATATGTTGATAAACAAAAAAAGTTGAATTATTCCTGGTTTGACATTGAACTATCTGCTTCTTCGAATTTGAAGAGATAATTCACAGAATATGTTTACACAGTCGTAAATATGGTGTATTCTTTTTAAATTCGTGTCAATGGCAACTCCTAAATACTTCACAAAATCTACTCTGATTAGAAGTCCGACGTTTATGATAGAGTGGGTACAGGAATAAACTAATCGAGAATGTTGTATTGTATATCAAGAATGGGTGAGAATACATTCGAAGCACTCTGATAAATCGAGAGGCAGTCGAGCGTAAAATGCGCGAATATAAGACAGACTGCTGGAGCAGTTTATGAAGTCCTGAAACACGGAAATCGCCTGGAAAGGGACTATGTGGTCAGCATACTTAAATAACTAGGCTGATAATTTCCTTGACAGATCACTGATGTAGGTGGAAAACAAGAATTGAAAAAGAACCAATGCATGGAGCCTTCTCGAATTATTTACGATTTGTTTTGATATTTTCATACCCAATCGAGTGCGTTAAGTTTTGTTTGTGAAATGGTAAAGTAGCCTCGTCAGCAGGTGATTGGGACAACCAAATAATGCCATTCGGCGAAAGACTAGGGAATGCGGAACAGAGTCAAAGGTGGATAATGAACTAGGGAGGAGACAATCTCCCAACTGAATCTATTTGTTTTTTAGGCAAACTTCAAGATACATGAAAGGAAACAGTTAAGCTTTAGAGAACGACGCGCTATACCAATTAAAAAATACATGGTGTAAGAGAAATTGAATACAAACGTTTGGCTAGAGTGCTGGATTTTCATCTTTGCATTTGTTTTTTTCTTCGTGGTCCCCCCTTCCCTCAATCTTGTGTTGTGACTTGTCACACTGGATTGACTGAGGGTATGAACAAAAATGGTTCTACAGTGGGTTGCACTAGTGACGCAAGGGGAAACTGCGACCGACATCAGGTCTTAGGGAGGAATCCTATTACATTCTCCGCCAAACCAGGGAAAGGAAGAGAAAACCTTTGATGGTGACAGAACGTTGCTTGTGGATCAAAAACGTATGATAGCTATGGATCAACTGGTAAAGCCCACTCAATGTTGCTGTTGAACCCAGAAACCAATGATTTGGATCACATAAATCACGATGTCCATTGTGTTTCAGCACACTGAAAATCTCGAGAACTAGTCAGGATTAGATGATTGAATTATAAAATTCACTAAAAACCAAACCGTTGCTTTTGTGAGTTGCCGCTGCGCCCTTCTCTGGAGCCAGCTTCATTGCACCATGCTTATCCTATCTGTGAATATTTTAGTTCTCATTGTGAATTCGTAATGTTAATCGTTGGGCTTTTCGGAAGAATTTGCGCTTTATCGAGATTGTGTAGTGCAGTTTTACTCTACTTTCCTGTTTTCTGATGAAAACGAACGATTTAATGCCTAAAGATTGCACTGTTTTTCTGTTGTTAGTCAAAACATGGATACAAGTAGGTTCATTTTTGCGTTAATTCTTGAAAGTGGAATACTAGAGCGGCATCTATTTTTCTCTCTTTTTCTCTTTCACTATCTTTTTCATTTCTTCCATATTGTCACATTTTCCATTTCCGTCATTCGTGAAGCTACAAGCGGTTGATTCCATGGAAAATTCGTCCACAACTGACTACGCACCGCAACCTCCAGTGAGCTGTCCTTTTCGTATCACAGTGACCACATCCAGTTTTGAATTGGAACAGCTGATCTCTCGAATCAGGGCAGAGCACGCGTCGAGGTAAAAAGAACTTTTCTTGAACAATCTGCGAGTTAATTTGTTAATCGTAAACAACATATCATTGATTTCTCTCGGATCGTGTTGAGCAAAATGGCACCATAATTTTTGTGTGGGTAATGAAAACTTGAAATTTAATCAAATCCTCCATTACTCACACGAAATAAGTAGTCAGATTGTGAATGTTTCCAGCCGAGTCATAACCCTGGAGACTAGTGCTAAGATGAACAGGGTCTGTGGCCTGCGACAAGCCCGCAAAGATGGGTTGTGCTATATCGTGTAAATGAATAATGAAAAACGGTCTGATCAGCTGCCCGTTGACCGAGTGGGTAGTACGCTTGCGTTCTATCTCTGAGGTCCTGGGTTCGATCCCCAATTGGGTCAGTGGATTCGCACTGCTGATGAGACCCAACCAGGTCGAAACAGCTGTCCAGCACTTTCTAGCTTTGCAGTTCAAGCTTCATTTGCTATATACACGAATTCTCATTTGAAACCCTATAAGATATTTATTGAAGTAGACAAGATTGTCTTACTTTACTGTCTGAGTCCAGCCCATGTGCCAGATAAACCGCGGCACAAAGAAATATAACAAACATTTTTTGTGGGTGGAATAGTGCCGAATTACCCAGGCCAAAACAGTCAAACTTTCTTGAGGTTTTCATAAT